AAGCTCGAGATCCCCAAACCCGGAAACGCGACGCATCGCCAACCTCCCCCGTCCACAGCAGTGTGGGCAAGGTCTCCGGCAAGGAGACACGGGGCCAGAGGTTGAGCTGATGCGCAGCGTACCGGACCGCAAACGGCCACAGAAAGTGGGGGGCAGCCGCATGGATCAAGGAGGTACGGGCGACCTCCATGACTAGGCCAATGCGGCGCTCCGCAACCCCATTCTGCTGTGGAGAGGCCGGAAGCGTGAACGACCCCATACTGCTCAATGCCGTGCTCAAGCGTGAACGGCTGCCAAGAGGTCGGAGGAGAACTCACCACCTCTGTCAGAGTGCAAGCGCAGGACAGGAAAGTCCGAGTGGAAACGCTCGCTGAGCTGGAGACGAGCTCTGCGGATCCAAGGGATCAAAACATCAGGGACCTCACCCTTGGTGCGCAAGGGGAAGACCGTGGTGTAGCGCGAGTAGTCGTCAACAACTATCAGGAAGTACCTCTCCTGACCCTGACCACGGACGCGGGCTGGGCCCCACACGTCCATGTGGAGCGTCTGCAAGGGAGCAGTCGTCGGGGGAAACGAGGAGGAGTGAGGAGCGGCGCGCTGCCGCCCCTCGACACAGGGAAGACAGGGAGGAGCAGGCGAGGGTGGGAGGGGAGGGAGGACCCTGGGAAGACCAGAGACAAGGTACCGGGAGTGCATGGCACGAAGGCGCTGCACAGACGGGTGGCCAAGTCGGTGGTGCCAGAGGACGGTCTCATGCGCCAGAGAGCGACACGAGCAGGGGGCCGACAGCTGACCTGACGCGGACGCAGACGCAGCTACCTGAGGGGACTCAGTGGTCAGTGTGTACAGGTCCGACCCCGGCTGCCGAGTGAAGGTAGCCAGGTGACGGCCCGTCCGAGCACACGTGCAGTGTGTCATGCGCTCGTAGGCAGGGGTGAACTGGTGAACACCTCCGTCCTGGAGCGCACAACCCGCCACCAAGTTCGTAGAGAACGAGGGGAGGTGGAGACCTGACAGTGTGCCCGACGGGACCGCAGGACAAGGAAGGACAGTGGAGGAGGTCGCAATGACCGGACCCCCAGAGGGGTCAGCGAGGGAGACAGCAACTGGCCGAGCAAGCGGCTCAAGGGCAGTGCGGTCACGAAAGAAACAGTGAGAAGCACCTGAGTCCAGAGTGAAGGTGTGCAGTGCCTCAGTCGACTCAGTACCAGGGGGCGCAGACTCACTAGCACCTAGAGCAGCAGCCTCACCAGCACCTGGGGTAGCAGCCGCACTAGCACCTAGAGCGGCAGCCTCACTCACAGGACACGGCAGCTGCACCTGTCCATCACCAGAAGCTCCCGACCGACCCACTCCAGAGCGACTACCACTACGGCCACCCCGACAGCCCCAACTGGCGTACCACTCACGAAGCTGCTGGGGTGAAAGAGGACACGGCAGCTGCACCTGTCCACTACCAGAAGCTCCCGACCGACCCACTCCAGAGCGACTACCACTACGGTCACCCCGACAGCCCCAACTGGCGTACCACGCACGAAGCTGCTGGGGCGAAAGAGAACACGGCAGCTGCACCTGTCCACTACCAGAAGCTCCCGACCGACCCACTCCAGAGCGACTACCACTACGGCCACCCCGACAGCCCCAACTAGCGTACCACTCACGAAGCTGCTGGGGCGTGAGGGACTCACGCGCACGGCCCTGGAGCTGCATCTGGCCTCGCCAGGAGCAGCAGTAGCAGCAGTAGCGGCAGTAACAGCAGTAACAGCAGGAGCAGTAGCAGTGGGAGTAGAAAAGGCAGTAGCAGCAGTAGCAGTGCTGGCAGGGCAATGCTCACCAGTGGTCGGCGCGGCAGGCGCAAGACGGTGGCGACCGCGGGGCCGCTACAACTGCAGGGCGGGGCCGGGCCGCAGCAGGGAGCTCCGCGGCAGCTGCTGCAGGGCGAGGCCGGGCCGCGACGGCAGCTGCTCCAGGTGCCTGGGGCGGCTGCTGCAGGTGCGGGCTGCTCCAGGGGCGGCTGCTGCAGGTGCAGGCTGCTCCAGGGGCGGCTGCTGCAGGTGCGGGCTGCTCCAGGGGCGGCTGCTGCAGTGGCGGGCGGCTCCAGGGGCGGCTGCTGCAGTGGCGGGCGGCTCCAGGGGCGGCTGCTGCAGTGGCGGGCGGCTCCAGGGGCTGCTGCTGCAGTGGCGGGCGGCTCCAGGGGCTGCTGCTGCAGTGGCGGGCGGCTCCAGGGGCTGCTGCTGCAGTGGCGGGCGGCTCCAGGGGCGGCTGCTGTAGTGGCGGGCGGCTCCAGGGGCTGCTACTGCAGTGGCGGGCGGCTCCAGGGGCGGCTCCACGGGCAGGTGGCGACGCCGCGGGCAGGGCGACGCGGCGGGCAGGTGGCGACGCGGCGGGCAGGTGGCGACGCCGCGGGCAGGGCGACGCGACGGGCAAGTGGCGACGCCGCGGGCAGGCGACGACGCCGCGGGCAGGGGCTGCGTCGCGGGCAGGCGACGACGCCGCGGGCAGGGGCTGCGTCGCGGGCAGGCGACGACGCCGCGGGCAGGCGACGACGACGCCGCGGACAGGGCGACGCGGTGGGCGGCGAGAGCCTGCAGGGGCTGCGCGCGGTCGGGCAGAGGCTGCGCGCGGGCCTGACGGGTCTGCAGGGGCGGCTCTCGGGCGTGACGGGCCTGCAGAGGCGGCTCGGGGGGGGCCTGACGGGTCTGCAGAGGCGGCTCGGGGGCCTGACGGACCTGCAGGGGCGGCTCGAGGGCGCACGAGGGCGCACGAGGGCGTACGAGGGCGTACGAGGGCGCACGAAGGCGCACGAGGGCGTACGAGGGCGCACGAGGGCGCACGAGGGCGCACGAGGGCGCACGAAGGCGCACTAGCAGAGAAAGGCGCACGAGGGCGCACGTAGGGTAGGGCGCACGAGGGCGCTTCTAGCGGAATAGTGGGCCCATTGTAGAAAGCGGTCCTAGGTAGCAACCTAGGCTCGTGATACCATGTTAGAATCTTAGAATAGAACGAGAATGGATGAACTAGCAGGAAGTTGGGTACAAGTAGGAAACCCTAAGTTTGTGTACCCTCTAAGGCTAAACCCACTATAGCCTACACAATATGAACATACAATGTTTGACACCTCGCTTGTCAGCGTTGTTAACACCATCTCCTTCCAGTTCGCAGGTGTCGCTTTGAAAGCTCTCAGCGCCCATTTCGCTTTGTCCCTATTCCCCAATTCCCTCGTCAGTTCTTCTAACCCCTTGAGCTTGGACGTTCCATCCCAAGTCTTCTTGATCAGGTCACCCTTCTGGTCAATCAGGCATGGCACCTAGTGTGCCGCGCCTGAAGCGCTAGCGTCATCGCCGTCATGGCCTTTGGCCTTTTTGCTTTCTTGTACACAGTGTGTGACATACACTATTTTTTGTGCAAGGTCTGTTGTTTTCTCTGTTCTTGCTTTCTTGTGCAGGTCATGTGTGTGTGTTGACTTTACTGTTTTTGCTTTGTGTAGGGCGTGTATGTGTTGAATTCTCTGATTTTCCTTTGTGCAGGGCGTGTGCGTGCTGACTTCACTGATTTGCTTTGTGTTTGGCATGCGTGTGCTGACTTTAATTTGCTTTGTGCAGAGTGTGTGTGTGCTGACTTCTCTGATTCTGCTTTGTACAGGGCGTGTGTGTGCTGACTTTTCTGATTTTGCTTTCTGCAGAGCGTGTGTGTGCTGACTTCTCTGATTTTGCTTTGAGCAAGGTGTGTGTTCAATGACTTCTCTGATTTTGCTTTGTGCAGGGCGTGTGAGCTGAGAAGGGTGTCAGAAACTAGCAGGAAGATTGAATGCACTAGGCAGGAATGAGGTACTAATATGGAAAACCCTAATTGGGTTGTACCCCTTATGGGCTACCCCACTATAGCCTACACAACATATTTTGACACACCCCCATAGGCAAAGTGGGGGAGAACAGGCGGTCACAAGACCAGTCAAGAGAAACAAAACAAGCTCAGGGTGGATCACGAAGTCACCACACATTCCGAGCACAAGTAAGGGGCCACAAGACCAGTTCACATGCAGAGTTATATACAACAAATCAAACAGTACTGCGATCACAACCTAGCAAGACTATGCATGCACGTATATATAAATCATAGTACAAGCAAAGTCATGCAGTGAGCAAGTGAGAAAACGTAGGCACAAGGCCTAGCGCGGTACAGAAACGCTGATGATCACCAGGCAGAAGTGATGGCCCAGGTGGCCGCGTAAGCAAGACGAAGCTGACCAGCTGCTGCAACTCTCGAGCAAGGAAGTAATGCAGAGCGATGTGCTTCGTTCTGTGCTTCAGTCTGTGCTCCTGACACAAGGCGATGGCGACCTTCTTGTCTATCCACAAAGCTGGAGGAGAACTAGGCCACTCTCCCAAGTCAGTCAGCAGGTAGGTGAGCCAGTGTAAATCTTGTGCAGCCATGGCTCCTGTGCAGATCTCAGCCTCACAACTAGAGTTGAGGACAGAAGAAGAGCAGGTAGACCGCCAAGAAACATTGCTGGAACCAAAGCTGAAGGTGTAACCCTGAGACAACCGCTGAGTAGTCAGGTCGTCAACCCAAGAGGCGTCTGAGTGTCCAGTGAGGACAACTGGACCCTGTCCTCCAAGCACCAGCCCCATGCCTGATGTACTGCACAAGTAGCGCAGCACCCTCTTAGCAGCCTCCCAGTGCTCTCGCCTGTGTCTCCCAGGTGCAACGTAGCGAGCCAGGATGCTAAGAGGGTACGCAAGGTCAGGTCGAGTGCAGGTCATCAGGTACATGAGGCAGCCAACAAGCTCTGCATACGAGCCATTCGGCTCTACGGACTCGTCCGAAGGTGGAGCTGAGAGCGAGTGACATGTAGACAGAGGAGTGGACTGTGGTGAGGAGAACTGGAAGCCGAAGCGCTGAAGGACCTGCTGCACCATGTGTGACAACGTCAGGGTGATGGTGCGGCGTGCTCTGTCCCGGGTAATTTGCTCACCCAGGTGTGTGCACGTGTGTCTCTTCTATAGCTCCGACTTCACAAGGGCGAGTGCCTCTGTGCCAGCAGTGGCAAAAACCAAGTTGTCAATATACACGAGGATGTAGAATGGCGGCAGTGAAGTGTCGGTGCGCAGAAACAGCAACGGGTCAGCAGTGGAAGGAGCAAACCCAAGAGCCGCAAGCGTCGTCCTCAGTGTGTCGTGCCACTCACAAGGCGCCTGGCGGAGACCGTAGACCGGCCGCTGGAGGCTCCACTGGGTACCAGGAGGGAACGACCCAGTGAAGCCAGGTGGGTGGCGCAGCCAGATCTCCTCGTGCATGCTGCCCTGTAAGAACGCTATGCTAAAGTCAAGAGAGTGAAGTTCGTAGTCACGCTGAGCGACAACGTGCAGCAGCACCCAAAGAGTGGTCATCTTCGGGGTAGGGGAGAAGGTCTGGAAGTAGTCAACTCCCTGTCGCTGACTGAAGCCTCGAGCAACATAACGAGCCTTGTAGACAGGCGGAGAACCCGGCGGCCGCTTCACCCTGAAAATCCACATGCCATCAACGATGTTCGTCCCAAGAGGGGGAAATGCGTCGACGTAAGTGCCTGTGGACTTCCAGGATGGTATCTCTGCATCCATGGCTGTCTGCCACTGAGAGGAGTAGGGACCCGTAATCGCCTCTGCGTAAGAGCGCGGGGTCGGGATGTCCAGTGCATCCGAGTCTCCCTCTAGTGCAGGCAGCATGGCCACGAGATAAGGTCCAGCACCCGCAAGACACTCGAAGTCCTCCTGCCTGTCCTCAAGGACATCCGTGCCAAGAGCACACTCACCCCCGACGGATGGAGGACAGACATACTCAGACTCAGCAACAAGACTAGTGGCGTAGTCTAGACGACACGCAGCAGCAAAGTCCACAAGCTCAACAACTAAGGCAGACGCAGCAGTACACTCAAACGACGGGTCAGTGACAACAGTAGCCAGGAGACGGGTGACAGTAGGGATGGCAGCACGAACCCGGTCAGACTCAGGGTCCGGATCGTCAAGAAGAGAGGACGTAGGAGGAGACGACAGGGGGATACGCTGTGGAACAGAGGAAGGACGAAGTGCCTGGCACAGGAGGAGGACGCGGACGAGGGACACGATGAGCACAACGTACAGTGCGAACAGGGGAAGCAGGACAAGACGCAGGCTTACGACGCTCTCTGAGGGAGACTGGCTACTCTGTGTAAGGAGGGGGGGCAGGCAGTAGTGAGTCTGGAGGAATAGCAGTGGACGAAGGAAGACTAAGAACCTGACGGAGCACCGACTCGGGCGGACAGCTGCGGCGGCGGCGAGAAAAACGGTCGCTGCTGCACAGGGCCTCCAGCTCCAGCGCCTCCAGCGCCAGCACCTCCAGCTTGAGTAGCTCCAGCGCCAGTGCCTCTAGCTCCAGCGCCTCAAACTCTAGTGCCTCCAGCTCCAGTACCTCCAGCTCTAGTGCCTCCAGCTCCAGCACCTCAAGCGTTAGGACCTCCAGCTCCAGCGCCTCCAGCGCCAGTGCCTCCAGCTCCAGTGCCTCCAGCTCCAGCACCTCCAGCTCCAGTACCTCCAGCTCCAGTACCTCCAGCGTCAGGACCTCTAGCTCCTGCACCTCCAGTGCCAGTACCTCCAGCTCCAGCACCTCCAGCTCCAGCACCTCCAGCTCCAGTGCGACTCCGAAGGCGTGTGCGCCACGCAAGCCACTCGTGCAGCTGCTGTGGTGAGAGAAGCTCAGGCTGGGAAGACCGCTATGGCGAGGTCTCTGGAAGACCACCAGCAAAAGTAGCACCACCCGACTCAGCACCCCCAGAAGCAACACCCCCAGGCTCAGTACGCTCAAGCTCAGCACCCCCAGGCTCCGCACGCTCAGGCGTAGCACCCCCTGGCTCCGCACGCTCAGGCTCAGCACCCCCAGGCTCCGCACGCTCAGGCTCAGCACCCCCAGACGTAGCACCTCGAGCAGGACCACCCCCAGCAGCACCTGAGTCACAAGGAGCAGTGGGTCTACCTGAGAGACACCTGAAGGAGCAGGACCTTGAGGGGGGAGGGGGTCTACCAGAGGGGGACCTGGAGCAAGGAAGAGCAGCAAGGGTGGGAGAGGGGCAGTGCGGTAGGGGAAGAGACGGTAAAAGGGAACCGACTCGTCAAACGTGACGTTCTGAGTGGGGAAGAGACGGCGTGAGGTGGGGTGGTAAAACTGCCAGCCAGGCGCGTCACAGGGAAAGCCAAGGAAGACGCAGAGAATGGCGCGAGAGGAGAGCTTGTCCGCGGTGGTATCACGGACAAAGGCACGAGAGCCCCAGACCCGGAACCAAGACGCATCGCCAACCTCCCCCATCCAGCACACTATGGGCGAGGTCTCCAGCAAGGAGACACGGGGCCAGAGGTTGAGCTGATGCGCAGCGTATCGGACCGCAAACGGCCACAGAAAATGGGGAGCAGCCGCATGGATCATGGAGGTACGAGCCACCTCCATGACTAAGCCAATGCGGCGCTCAGCAACCCCATCTGCTGCGGTGAGGCCGGAAGCGTGAACGACTGGAGGATGCCCTCCCCCTGACAAAAGTCCCGCAAGAGGTCGGAGGAGAACTCACCACCTCTGTCAGAGTGTAGACGCAGGACGTGAAGGTCCATGCGGAACTACTTGCGGAGCTGGAGACGAACTGTGCGGATTTAAGGGATCAAAACAGCAGGGACCTCACCCTTGGTGCGCAAGGGAAAGACCGTGGTGTAACGCGAGTAGTCGTTGACTACCAGCAGAAAGTACCCCTCGCGGCCCTGTCCCTGGACACAGGCTGGGCCCCACACGTCCATGTGGAGAGTCTGCAGGGTGGGGGAAATGAGGAGGAGTGAGGAGCGGCGCGCTGCCGCCCCTCAACGCAAGGAAGGTCCGCAAGGCAGGGCAGGCGAGGGTGGGAGGGAAGGAAGAGACCTGGGAAGACCAGTGACAAGGAGGCGGGAGTGCATGCCACAAAGGCGTGGCAGGGAGGGGTGACCAAGGCGGTGGTGCCAAAGGAGAGTTTGGTGCGACAGGTGAAGACACTCGCAAGGGGGAGCTACCTTACCTGACGCGGCCACTTGGCCAGACACAGCAACTTGAGGAGGCTTAGTAGTCTATGTCTATAGACTCGACCCAGGCCGACAGGTGAACGTGGCCATGTGGAGGCCCGTCTGGGAGCATGTGCAGATCGCCACACGCTGGCCTCCAGGGGTAAAGGTATCAACCCACTCATCCTGAAGAGCTGCGTTACTCACCAGGTTCGTCGAGAACGAGGGGAGGTGGAGACCTGACAACGAGTTGGACGGAACCGCCGTGCACGGGAGCACAGTGGAGAAATGTGCAAGAACTGGACCCCCAGAGGGGTCAGCCAGTGAGACTGCAACCGGCCTAGGGAGTGGTGTGATTGTGGTACTGTCGCGAAAGAAACAGCGGGAAGCACCTGAGTCAAGCGTGAAGGTGTGCAAGGCCTCAGCAGACGCAGTACCAGAGAGAGCAGACTCACTAGCACCTAGAGCAACAGCCTCTATACCTGGGTCGGGCGGCACACACAAGTAACAGTCACCCCTAGAGCTAACAGTCATAGCGTACATGCCTGCAATGATTGCATCAAAGTCAAGAGCAAAGATATCAACACCAGACCTAAGCAGCTCTGCCCAGCGGGGCATCTCAACCTCTTCGCCCATCTCAGCGCGCTAAGCGTCGTCTAGGCGAGAGAAACAGCAGTGCTGGGTGTGAAGCTTCCCACACGTCTGACCAGCGCGGTCACCTGTGCGAATGACGTACGGGCAGCGAGCACTGCCCCCACGCTGAGCAAGCCACCCACGAAGCTGCTGGGGCGAGAGGGTCTCACGCGAACGCTGCTGCTGCTGTCGCTGAACTGCTCCAGCCCGACCACCACCATTGCCGCCGCCGCCGCCACCGCCACTACCCCGCCGCCGCCACCACCGCCGCCACCACTCCCACTTCCGCCCCGACCACTACCAGTGCCACCCCCGCCGCTGCCTCCACCGCCGCCACCGCCCCCACTCCTACCACCACTCCCACTTCCACTGCCACCTCCGCCACCTCCACCGCCTCCACCACCTCCACCACCACCCCCACTGCCGCCACCCCCACCACTCTTGCCTCCCTTGCCCTTGCCGCTGTGGCGCTTTCCACTAGGAGCAGAAGCAGCACCGACCTCCTCAGCACCAAGGAAGTCGACAGCAGCAGCAGAAGCAACAGAGGGGGCAAGGGGGGAGGGGGAGCACCCCTCAAAGAAGGCGCGCGAGGAGCGCCACGAGTAGCACCTACAGCGACTGCGCTAGTCTCAGTTGCAAGGAGTTGCTTCTTGAGCAGGTCGATGGTGAGCTCTATGGGGTGAAGGGTGAGAAAGTGGTCCCTAACTGCGGGTAGAGAGTCACGGAGGCGAGTGACAATATAGTAGAGAGTGATGTAAATCGGGGGCTCGTTCTTGGGGACGAACTCGGCTGTGAGGGTAGCACAGTAGCGAACGTTGCTAACGCGAAGGTGGGTAATGAGGTCCTCTACAGTGGCAAAGGAGGACAGCTCGGGAAACAGGTAGGGCAGGATAAGGGGGTCAAAAGCTGCTGTGGCAGGGGAGGAGTAGCGGGCGACTACAGCGTCAAACAGGGCTTTAGTAGTCTTATGATGGCCAAAGTGAGCGTGTTCGGCTATCGGCGGGTGGTTGCGAACGGCTAGGCGAGCGGCAGCGTCACAGGTACGCCACTATGAGCGTGTCGCTCTATCAGTTGTGTCAGGAGGGGCAGTACAGGCTCCAAACGTGTGGTCAAACAGTGAGACATTGTCCTTAGAATCGCTCAGCAAGTACAGTTGTAGGTCGTCTAGCCACGTGTCGAACTGAATAGGGCGTCCCTCAGGGTCGAACTCGAGAACAGTGAGGGTGGCTATAGTTTAGCAGCATAGGGTAGAGCGTAGGGCAGGGCAGGGCAGTACACGGGCAGGAATGGCGGCGCACATGCTGCAAGGGGCGGCGCGCAGGTGAGCAGGAGTGGCGCGCAGGTAAGCAGGAGTGGCGCGCAGTGCAGGCAGGGCGGCCCCGCGCCTGGCAAGGGTGCGCGCGGCAGAGCAGGGCATGCGCAGGGCAGGGCAGGGCGCGCGGGCCAGGGCAGGGCCAGGCGCGCAGCGCAGGGGCAAAGGCCGCACGGAGGGCTGCAGGGGGCGGCGTGCAGGGCTGCAGAGGGCAGTGCGTGGGCTGCAGGATGGCGCGCGGGGCTGCAGAGGCAGCGCGCGGGCTGCAGTGGCGGCG